TGTCATTCGATATTCCTCTACAGAGAAATCTCTGTTTAGCTCTGTTCTCCATTTTTTAATTGGATCACTTGATTTGTTTCTGTTTTTCAGCTTTTTTAGTTCTTTATATATACTGGATATTAGTCCTCTATCAGATAAAGGGTTGGTGAAGATTCTTTCCCAATCTGTAGGCAGTCATTTTGTTTTGATGACGGTGACCTTTGCTTTAGAGAAGCTTTTCAGTTTCATGAGGTCCCATTTATTGATTGTTGCTCTTAGAGCCTATGCTGTTGGTGTTCTGTTCAGGAAGTTGTCTCCTGTGCCAATGAGTTCAAGGGTATTCCCCACTATTTTTTTCTAATCAATTTAATGTGTCTGGCTTTATGTTGAGGTCTTTGATCCACTTGGACTTTAGTTTTGTGCAGGGTGATAAGTATGGATCTATTTTCATTTTTCTACATGTAGACATCCAGTTAGACCCTGAGATTTCACCTGACGCCCATCAGAATGGCCAAGATGAAAAACTCAAGTGACAACACATGCTGGAGAGGTTGTGGAGAAAGGGGAACCCTCCTCCACTGCTGGTGGGAATGTAAACTTGTACAACCATTCTGGAAATCAATCTGGTGCTTTCTCAGACAACAAGGAAGAGCGCTTCCTCAAGATCCAGCTATACCACTCCTAGACATATATCCAAAAGAGGCTCAAGTACACAATAAGGACATTTGCTCAACCACGTTTGTAGCAGCTTTATATCTAATAGCCAGAAGCTGGAATAGCCCAGATGCCCCTCAACTGAAGAATGGATGCAGAAATTGTGGTACATCTACACAATGGAGTATTACTCAGCAATGAAAAATAAGGAAATCATGAAATTTTCAGGTAAATGGTAGGACCTAGAAAGGATTATCCTCAGTGAGCTGTCCCAGAAGCAGAAAGACACACATGGTATATACTCACTCATATAGACATATAACATAGGATAAACCTACTAAAATCTGTACATCTAAAGAAACTAAGCAAGAGAGAGGACCCTGACTAAAACGCTCAATCCCCATCCTGAAAGGCAAAGAGGATGGACATCAAAAGAAGAAGAAAATAGGAAACAACCTAGGAACCTGCCACAGAGGGCCTCTGAAAGGCTCTGCCCTGCAGACTATCAAAGCAGACGCTGAGACTTATGGCCAACTGTTGGCCAGAGTGCATGGAATCTTATGTAAGAAGTGGGAAATAGTAAGATCTGGAGAGGATGGGAACCACACAAGGAGAGCAACAGAACCAGAAAATTTGAACACAGGGGTCTTCCCAGAGACTCATACTCCAACCAAGGTCTATTCGTAGAGATAACCTAGAACCCCTGCACAGATGTAGCACATGACAGTTCAGTGTCCAAGTGGGTTACATAGTAATGGGAAGAGGGACTGCCTCTGACATAAAGAGGGCCTGCTCTTTGATCACCTCCCCCTGAGGGGAGAGCAGCCACAGAAGATGACAATGCAGCCACTCCTGATGAGATATGATAGACTAAGATCAGAAGGAAGGAGAGGAGGACATCCCCTATCAGTGGACTTGGGGAGGGGCATGCGTGAAGAAGAGGGAGGAAGGGTGGTATTGGGAGGGGAGGAGGGAGGGGCTTATGGGGGGATACAAAGTGAATAAAGTGTAATTAATAAAAAAAATTGAAAACAAAAACAAGAATTTAGGGCTAAAGAGCACTTCCCCGGTACACACAAGATCCTGAGCTCAACTCCTCTACTAGGGAAAAAAAAAAAAAAAGACAGTCTAGATCTAAATACCTTAAATCCATCACTCAGCAATCAAATCACAATTCTGATTTTTTTAGCATTATACAAGAGACCAGCTTTAAACCCAGAACAGTACAATGACCCTGCTCGACTGCAGTGAACCTTGGTCCAATTACAGGAACCAGGGTTCAAACAAAGGCCTGCACTTGCTCCTGCTGTGTGTGACAGATATAAGAAACCCACACCCCACACCCACAGCTGACCAGGTGAGGTTCCAGTACCACAGAACTTCAACTAAGACATGCCTCTATTGGAGAGGCATGAATAAATACTGACGATGAATAAATACTGTACAAAGGAAACCATATGCCTGGCATTAAAAGAGGCCTTTTGTTTCCTTCCTTTAAAGAAGGTACTGAAAATGAGTGGCCAGGCTACAAGTAATGCTTCTGATAGAGATGTGAAGACAGAGAGAGACTGAGAGCCAGCTAGCCTAGCTTATCACAAGCTCTGCTCTACCGACTGCTGCTGTGGGAATCACAGCACACTGGTATCTATGCACACTGGTGTCACAACGACTGCACACACCAATATGAACTAGCTAGCAAGGCCTTCTGTGTTTCTAGTCTCTCAATCTCTTCTCTCTCCCCTCCCATCTCCCCAGCCCCCTCCCTTCCCTTTTCTCATCCCCCTTAGTCTACACTTCAAATGATTTCCCTTCTAAAACTACACTACCGCACTACCCCCAGCACCCTCACCAGAAATCCTATCATATCAGAGAATGAGAAGCAAATTTCTTACCATCAAACCTCCAAACCTTCCTGTACCTCCTCTCACCACAGTGACGGAGATGGACTCCTCTTTCTTTGATGTCTCAGTGCTTGTGTGATTATATACTCTTTTCTCACCTCCATCTTACTTACCCTTGTAGTACCAAGCTCTGCTCCTCTGCCACCTCCTCTGCATGAACATCAGAACTGTTGGCACTCTCCCACATGAAATAAAAACTCCCCAGTCAAACTGACCCTTTTCCAGGTGGAGCCCTTTTGTCTCACCACAGCCAATGCCTTTGAATGGGCTCACAGTATCCACCCTCGGCCTCTCAGTCAATCTCAGTCAGCACTCCTATGAGTCAGTCAGTCATTAATGACCTTTCACTGACTCTAAGAGGACACATTCTTTCTTGCTGACTCCACCTTTCCGGTACAATGATGACAGCAAGCTGTTGCTTTGCTTATAAAAACCCTCTCCTATTTTGGCTTTTCTGCCACAGTCTTTACTGATTTTCCTTCTACCCCTCTAGGGGCTTTATCTTCTTCATAGTCTCCTCTTCCTCTTTAAATGTTAACTAATGATGCCAGTGTTCTGTACAACATGCACTTCTCTCTGCTCTCATCATTTACTTATCTCCCTCTCCTCAGAATGGCAGACCCATACTCCAACTGCCTGTTCAGCACATCCTCTTGGAAGCATGTACTCTTCACAAACTGGGAAGCTTCAAGCGTCAGCACATTCTGCCAACGTCCCACTGGCCATATCCTTCCACTCTATTCACTCATGTAGCTTATGCCCTGGCCCACACATCCATTCTCTACACTTGCCTGCAAATACTGCAAACCAGTTTATTACTTCTGGATTTATTCCAGCTCCATCCATTCTCTATTTTATGGAGCTGATACTACAAAGATGTATATTGACATGATTACCCTCCTACGCAAAACGTAGCTGCTTGGAACTGTCTATATAACTGTATTCAAACTCCTAGTTTGCTAATACAGCTCAATCCCTAACTCACTCTCACCTCAATTTCCAGCACACTGAAACTCTTTCAATTCTCTCTACAAACCATGCTTTCTCTTTCCTTGACCTCTAGATTCTTGAAGATGGTATAATTTATCAAAACATTTCCTTTTTCTGTTTCTCGGTATCTCTTTATTAATACTTAGTCTTAATTTAAACAGCAAGTCCTCCAGTCGATGTATGCAGTATGTGTCTATAAAGTAATTTGCATATGCCCCATAAGACACTTCTTTCTTGGTACCCACTGAACTATTTATTTTCCCCAAAGACTTTAATTAATAAGATAGTAATGTGTATGTCCATAGTGTCAAATACACTACACGGCACATACAAGTCATTTATTGAGTGCTTATTGATAATATGCAACAAACACATTTTACTAAGTTTTCAAAGAGATGTTTACTCAAACCCTCATGAGCAAATAAAGCTTTTAAAAATTTGCTTCGACTATATTACAGAAATACAAATAAATATAAAGGTATTTTAAAAAATCATTTCTTCAAGGCAAAACTTTAAAAAAAAAAACCTTTGAACAGTAACTGATGATCACTGTATCAATAAATTGTTCTTAGGAATATACTCTTCCACCTCAAACTTATTTCAGTGCCTGATTATTTGTAACTTATCCCCTTCATGCAAATGGATTCTATCTTGGGCAAGCAGCTATCATTTTAAGATATAACTAGCCTATTGTTGACTATGATCACTGACCTCCTTCAAAGAAGTTAGGTGGCTAGCATACCAACACATACAACTGCCTATTTACTGATTTATCCTTGTGACAACTCTCAACCCTCTTTTTTTTTTTTTCTCTCTCAGCCCTCTTTACAGAAAGCAATTTTATAGCTAGTTAGTATGTTAAGAGCCAAGGAAAGTGCCATCCTCATCGCCACAGCAAGACAAGAAAGGAAACTGCTATGGAATGAATTGTACCTTCGCCAAATTCAGACGCTGAAGTCCTGACTCCCTGTGTGATGGTACTTTGAGGTGGAGTCTCTGGAAAATAATTACATTTAGCTGACATCATGAGGGTAGGACCCTCATGATGAGATTAGTTACCTTGCAAGAATAAACACAGATATCTTGCCTTCCCTCTCTCCCACCACCATGCAAAGATTCACTGCCTCCAAAGGACCAGGACAACCCTCCTTGAATGATCTAACAGCACCCTGATTGTGGACTTCTGTCTTCTACAACCCTGAGGGAATAAGCTTCACTGTAACCTGGGGTATTTCTTATAGCAGCTCTACAAACAAATATAGCGAGCACAGCTGAAATACTAGATACGAGCTCCAACTCTATTTTGAATCAATAATATCTTTAACTAAATACAGATTGTTGGTCTTGAGGTTGTTTTTGTTTTCAGATACTACCTTGTAGTTGATAAGTTTAAAAAACGAAAAACAAAACAAGAGTAGGGGATCATAAAAAGCTTACTGAAATGCAGCAGTAAAAATGAAAGAAAAAGATACTTACCACCACCAAGAATGTAAGAATCCTGGCGGTTCCCCCAATGTGATGTTTTTTTCCCATCTTATCTAAAATGAAAAATAAATAAATAATTTAAATGCGGTAGTTCTACCTGGATGCATTAGCAAGCAGTGTAGTTCTCATTTGAAATGCAATGGAGATTTCAGGTTCTTCATCATTTTCCCGTTATTCTATGCTCAGGTTTCCCAAGGACTCCTCTCACACAGTGACTAGGAGACTGGTGTGTGAAAAGATGCTGCCATTATTATTTTGAATTTGCTTCCCACCAGTTCATTGATAAACAGTTGGTTTATCATGTGTTGGTGCTCCAAAATTATTTGTCCATAGTCTTTAAAAGGTGACTAAGCCAGGAAAGGCATCTTCTGTGCAAGCCTGGTGACAAGAGTTCAATCCGAGGAGCCTACAAGGAGGCTACAGAAGGGAACTCCACTGAGTTTCCTCTGCCTCGACAGGCATGCCATAGCACATGCATTTTCCCACATATGGTAACTGCATGTGCAGGCACCACATGCGCAAACAAGATTCAATTAATTTATTAATTAATTAAACTGACACTACGAATATGTTTCCTACCTTAGTCATTCATTAACTACCCTCTTGAACGTATTCTCATGGACACAGATTTTCTGGGAGTGGACGGAAAGTAGCAAAGGGAGGGAGGTGTTAACGCAGTCAGCAGGGTTGTTCCACCAGCAGCAAACAGTGAACATAGCAGCTCATGTGCCCACCTGTTCCTAGCATAAGTAGACCAGTTTCTTCCTGACCACTGGGAAGCACAAACACAGGTGAGAGCAACAACTTCTCTTTAAGACCTGCAGTCCAATTCCAGGAGGCTACTCTGGGCTCCTGAAGCAACTGAGAGCAAGAAAGCTTTCTCTCTCCTTGGACACAAAAAATTCAGCTATGCAAAATCTCTTATCCATGCTTTTATAATCAAAACCTTCAATTTGATCTTTCAGCCCTGATGATTTCTTATGGGGATGTATGATTTTATATATATATATATATATATATATATATATATATATATATATATATTAACATTATTGTATAATATATAAATATATATGCATATATAAAAAAATGTTCCTTCTATGATTTTTTAAATGAGCAGTTGCTTGCCTATATTACATTCTTTCTGCTGATGTATTTAGTATGCTTTTAATTAACATGTCTGGATCCTGGCTGATACCAGCACACCACAGCACCACATGAAAGAATATATAAATTACATTCCTTTTCTGTGGAAAAAATTATAAACATTAAGTTTAGCATTTCTACACCTTGCTATGTGAACAAAGAAAAAGATAAGGTTCTTCTTTGACTCTGTGTTCTCATCTATAAAACAAGCTAGTAATCACCTAGCTACAAAGGATTAAGCCGGTCAGGACATCACTTAAAATACAGAATAGAGAAATAGTGCAACTTATAGCTGTTGAATGATTTCCTCTGACCCTGAAGGACATTCTCACAAGAAACTACTCAAGCATCATTGTCTTCTACACCAAAAAACGAGCGATGTGTCTCACAGAAACAAGTAAGTGTTTATATTTATGCTAATCAAAATTTAGCTTACTAATCAGAATGGTGTAATACACCTTAATATGTACAACCAGGAAGAAAATAAAGTTAGTTGTAAGCAAAAAAAAAGAACTCCAGGCTCTGAGGAGCTTCCCTTCCTAGGGGAAACACATCACCAGGTGGTCACAGCAGCGCCTGCTCTCAGAGAAAAGTGGACAGCATGCTGTGGGAACACTGGAGGCTGAGCAGAGAACGGAAGGCTGTGCAAAGGAGCTGGGCAGTTGAGAATTTGTTAAGCTGAGGAAGTGCAGAACACTGGAGGCCACATCCCTCTCTGCATGTCCCCACCCGCCATAATACCCAGAACGAAGTGAGCACAAAGTGCACATGTGGAGATTACTGCAAAAGGTTATAGGTGTCCTGCTTGGTTTCAGGAAGAAGCTTCTGGAGCCAGCTGGGTAACTACAAACTCGTTCTAGATGGGGGCACATATTCTTCCCCAGCTCCCAAGACCCACTCTCCCTCCCTCTCCCTCAGAAAAGAGCAGGACTCCCGGGGGCATCAACCAAACACAGCATAACATGCTACCATAAGATCATGCAGATACTCTCTCCTCAAGGCTGAATAAGCAACCCAGTAGGAGGAAAAGGATCCCTAAAGCAGGCCACAGAGTCAGAGACTGCCCCTGCTCTCGTTGTTAGGAACACCAAGCTACACAACCCCAACAGATGTGCAGAGGACCTAGGTCAGAGCCTTACAGGCACCCCGGTCCCTGAGCCCACTTGAGTCCCCGTCTGCTGATTCTGTAGGCTGTGTTCTTGTGGTATCCTGGATCCCTCTGGCTCCTTCAGTCTTTCTTCCTCCTCCTCCTCCTCCTCCCCCTCCTCCTCCTCCTCCAGAGCACTGCCCAAGATCCACCTAATACTGGGCCGTGGGATTCTGCATCTGCTTCTACCAGTTGCTGGATGAAGTCTCTTCAGTTTCTGATGATGATTTATCTACACTCTAGTCCCAGCATGTCCTGCCCGCATGACAAACTGTAGGTTGGAGGTTTTGTGGCTGGGTCCCAATCCTTCACTTGAGGCTTTGCCTGGTTACAGAGGATGGCTTGTTCAGGTTTTGTGTTTCCCAATATTAGGAGTTTTTGCTAGTGTCACCCTCATGGTTTCCATTGCACTTGGATTATATTTCACCTCTGAAATGGGCCCCAATTTCAGTCATCTTTCCCAGTATTCTCTTCCTGCATCCCCCATCACCCAATTCCTATGTTCCCATCTCCATTCACCTCAGTCCACTCTTGAAATCTGTTTCCCCTTCCCAAGGAGATTCTTAAGTCCCCACTTAAGCCCTCCTTGTTACTTAGCTTCTCTGGGTCTGTTGACTGTATCATTGATTATCCTTGACTTTTCAGCTAATATCCACTTATAAGTGAGAATATACCATGTTTGTCTTTCTGAGTGTGGGTTATCTCACTCAGGATGAGTTTTTCTAATTTCCATCCAATTGCCAGCAAATTTCATGATTTTTTTTAAACAGCTGAATAATATTCCATTGTGTAAATGTACCACTTTTTTTTTCATAACTTTTTTGGTTAAGGGACATCTAGGTTGTTTCCAGTTTCTGGCTATTGTGAATAAAGCTGCTATGAACATGGTTTGAGCATCTTTGGGTATATGCCCAGGAGTGGTATGGCTGGTTCTTGAGGTAGATCAGTTCCGTGTGCTTGGAAAATCTTTTTTCAAACTTTTATTCTCAGGTAATCATTGATGTTGAGGTATGGTTTTTGGATGCAGCAGAATGATGAATCCTATATTCTCATTCATTCTGTTAGTCTGTGTCTTTTTATTGGGATATTGAAACTATCAAGGACCAGTGGTTATTTATTCCTGTTATTTTATTGTTGTTGGTGGTTGGTGGTAGTGATATGTTTCTGTGTGTTTTCTTTTATTGAGTTTTGCTAGTGTGAGATTATTTATTGCCTTTGTATTTGTTAGTGTAGTTAACCTCCTTGGGTTGAAGTTTTCCTTTCAGTACCCTTTGTAGGGCTGGATTTGTGGCTAGATATGTTTAAATTTATCATGGAATATCTTGTTTTCTCCACCTATGCTCAAAAGTTTTGCTTGAGTATAATAGTCTTTGCTGCCATCTGTGGTTTCTTAGAGTCTGGAGCACATCTGTCCAGACCCTTCTGGCTTTAGAGTCTCCATTGAGATGTCTAGTGTAAGCTAGGCATGATGGTACACGCCTTTAGTCCCAGCACTCACGAGGCAGAGGCAGGTGGATCACTGTAAGTTCAAGGTTAGCCTGGTCTACAAAGTGAAATGAGTCCAGGACAGCCAAGAGAAACCCTGTCTCAAAAAACAAGACAAAACAGAAAAAGAAAAAGAAAAAAGAAAAGAGATGCCGAGTGTAACCCTAATAGGCATGCCTTTATATGTTGCCTGGCCTTTTTCCCTCGCAGCTTTTAATAGTCTGTCTTTGTTCTGTACATTTCGTGTTTTGATTATTATGTGGTGAGGGGACTTTCTTTTCTGGTCCAATCTATTTGGAAGTTCTGTAAGTTTCTTGTTCCTTTACAGGCATCTCCTTCCTTAGGTTAGGAAAATTGTCTCCTATGATTTTGTTAAAAATATGTTCTGGGGCTTTGAGCTGGGAATCTTCTTCTATTCTTACTATTCTTGGGTTTGGTCTTTTCATAATGTCCAGGTTTCCTGGATGTTTCATGTCAGGAAGGCTTTTTAGATTTAACATTTTCTTTGAGGGATGTATTTATTTATTTCCTTCAATTTTTCAATATTTTCCTCAATTCTTTAAGGGATTTATATTCATTTCCTCTTTAAGGACCGCTTTTATTGTCATAAAGTTGGTCTGAAGGTTTTATCTTTAATTGATTGATTGATTGTTCTGTGCTTCAGCTGTGTTGGAACAGTCACAGGATGTCTTGGTTCTGGTGGTGCCATATTGCCCTGGCTGTTGTTGGTTGTGTTCTGACACTGGTATCTAGACATCTGGGTTTAGGGTGATTATAGATCTAGGCGCTGATTTCTGTGCTTGTCTTTGTTGGGTAGGAGTTTTGTGCATTGATTTCTGTTTTCTCTCTGTTCTCTTTGCTTGAGTGGCCTGTGGTTGAATAGAGTATATACACCCAAGTTGGGGGCTGGATTTCTGATCTGATGGTCTGGATGGCCTCTGGTCAAGCAGGGCTTTTCTGCCTAAGTTCTGGGCTAGAGCTCTGTCAATGTGTGTGACCTCTGATCTGGCTCCAGGTCGTCTGGGGTTCAGGGAGCTGGCCTGGCCTCTGGTGAGGTAGGAGACTCAAGGCACATAACCTTGGAAGAGTCCTCTGAAGAGGAAGAGATCTCCGATTTTACCACAGACATCCAATCACTGATTCTCCCTCCACTGCCAAATCAATGGACCAAGACTGTTTCTAAGCAAACAGCAGCAAAAACCTGCGATTCCTCCCAGAAGTGAAAATTAACATGTGACATTTCCAAATCTCTTAAAAGCCAGAATTCTAAACAAA